TATATCCATCAACCCTAAGAATTTCCCCTGCCTTTTTATAATCCTCCTCCTAGCACCTCTCTCCCCAGACAACTATTGGTCTGTCTGCCCTTAGTCCCAATAGATCAGTTTGCATTTTCTAGCATTTTGTATTTTCTGTCTTCACTCAGAATATTGTTTTGAAATTAATCCATGATGTTGCACATAACAATATTGTTCACTACCTTTTATTGCTGAGTAGTATTCCATTGTATGAATATATCACAATTTATTTAACCATTTATCTGTTGGTGACATTTGAGTTGTTTCAAATGGGAGACTGTTAAAAATAAAGCTACTATGAATATTCATGTACAGATCTCTGTAGGAACATGTGCTGTCTTTTCTTATGGAAATACCTAGAATGAAATGGATCATATATTGGTGTATGTTTACCTTTTCAAGAAACTGCCAAACTGTTTCCAAACCGATTATATCATTTTACATTCCTATTAGGAGTGTATAAAGTTCTAATTTCTCCACGTCCTTAACATTTTTCATTTTAGCTGTTCTAATAGATGTGTATACTTTTTTTTTTTTTGTATATGGATATCCAGTTGTTCCATCATGGTTTTACTCTATGTTTCCCCTAAAGACTAATGAGGCTAATAAAGTTGAACTTCTTTTCATATGCTTATTTGCTATGTGGGTTATCTTCTTGGTGAAGCTGAACTATTCAAGTCTTTTGCCTATTTTTTGAGACTTGTTTGCTCATTGTTGAGTTTTGAGAGTTGGTTACATTCTTTTATTTTTTAATCTTTATTTATTTATTTTTTAAGTGAACTCTATACCCAGTGTGGGGCTTGAACTCATGATCCCCGAGATCAAGAGTCACATGCTCTACTGACTGAGACAGCCAGGAACCCTGAGAGTATGTTACATTCTTGATACAAATCCTTTATTACATGCTTTGCAAATATTTCTCTCAGGCTGGACCTTGTCTCCTTTAGCAGTGTATTTTAAAGAATGGAAGTTTGTAAAAATTTGATTAAGTCCAATTTCTCAATTTGTTCATTTATGGATTGTACTTTTGATGTCACATCTAAGAAATCTTTTTTTTTTTTAAAGATTTTATTTATTTATTTGAGAGAGAGAGAATGAGAGACAGAGAGCATGAGAGGGAAGAGGGCCAGAGGGAGAAGCAGGTGCCCCGCTGAGCAGGGAGCCCGATGTGGGACTCGATCCCGGGACTCCAGGATTATGACCTGAGCCGAAGGCAGTCGCTTAACCAACTGAGCCACCCAGGCGCCCCAAAGAAATCTTTGTCTAACTCAGAGTCACAAAAATTTTCTTACATTTTCTCTAGAAGTTTAATAGTAATGTCAGGTTTTACGTTTAGGTCTATGATCAATTTTGAATACTTTTTTTACATGGTGTGAGATATGAATCAAATTCCTATTTTTATATATGGATATCCAGTTCTTCCAAGCACACTGTGTTAAAAACAACAACAACAACAACTATTCTTTCTTCACTTAATTACCTTTGCACTTTGTCAAAAATCTATTATCCTTCTGTATGTGGGCCTATGTCTGGACTCTGTATTCCATTACATCAATCTATTTGCCTATTCTTACACTAAAACCACTCTGTTTTGATTACTGTAGATATTTAATAAGTCTTGAAATCAGGTAGTATCAGCCCTCCAACTTTGTTCTTTTTGTCAAAGTTAATTATTTTGGCTATTCTAGATCTTCGCATTTCTATATGAATATTAGAATCAGCTTGTCTTTCTTTTTTTTTTTTTTTTAACTTACTGGGATTTTGATTTGGTTTGTGTTGAACCTATAGATAATTTAAGGGGAGTTGACATGTTAACAATATGAGCCCACTGAGCCAGGTAAATCTCTCCAATTATTTAAGCTGTCTTCACTTCCTCTCAACAGTATTTGCTGTTTTCAGTGTACAGATCTTTCATGCCTTTTATCAGATTTATTCCTAAATATTTCATATTTTTATGCTATTGTAAATGATACATTTTTTTGCATTTCCATTTTCGGTTGTTTGTTGCTAGAACATAGAAATATAGATGATTATTGTATATTGATCTTGTATTCTGCAATTTTGCTACATTCACCAATTAGTTCTAGTAGCTTTTTGTAGATTCCACCAAGTGGAACAGATGGATAATTATGTCAGTTTTATTTCTTCCTTTCCAATCTGAATGTATTTTTTTCTTTTCTTGCCTGATTATACTGGGAGAACCTCCAATGTTGAATAAAAGTAAGAGCAGGGGCACCTGGGGGTGACTCAGTCAGTTGAGGGTCCAAGTCTTGATTTCAGCTCAGGTCATGATCTCAGGGTCATAGGATCCAGCCTCGTATGGAGCTCTGTGCTCAGCATTTAAGTCTGCTTGGGATTCTCTCCCTCTCCCTCTCCCTGTGTCCCTCATCCCACTCACACTCTAAATGAGTGAATGAATAAATGAATAAATAAATAAAATCTTTTAAAAAAAGTGGTAAGAGCAGACATTGTTTTGTTCCTGATTTTAGGGGGCAAGCATGCAGTCTTTTACCCCAGTAGGTATGGGATTATCTATAGGTTTTCTGTAGATGCACTTTATCTGGTTGAAGAAGTACCCTTACGTTCCTAGTTTGCTAAGTTTTTAAATAGGGAATGAATACTGGATTTTGTCAGATGTTTTTTCTGCATTTATTGAGATGATCAGTTTTTCTTTTTTAGATTAATTTGGTGAGTTATAATGATTAATTTTTGAATGTTAAACCAATCCTGTATTCTTGGGATAAATAGCACCCAATAAATATTATCTTTTTTAAATATTGTTAGATTTGATTTGATAAAATTTTGTCTAGAAGTTTTTACATCTGTGTTCATAAGGGAAATTGGCCTGAGTTTTCTTTTCTTGTAATGTCTTTGTGTAGCTTGGGTATCAGGGTAATGCTGGCCACAAAGAACAAGCTTGGAAGTATTCCTTTCTCTTCACTTTTCTGGAAGAGTTTGTGTGTGGTTGGCATTTTTTTTCCCTAAATGTTGGAAGGATTCACCAGTAAAATCCTGTGGACCAGGACTTTTCTTTATGGAATGTTTTAAACTAAAAATTCAATTTTTTGGAAATGGATATATGACCATTCAGGCTATCTATTTCTTCTTGAGTCAGCTTTGGTAGTTTATGTCTTTCAAGAAACTTGGTCATTTTTAAGTTGTTAAATTTTTTGCCTGAAGTTGTTCATAATATTCCCTTATTATCCTTGAAATATCTGTAGAATTTGTAATGATGTCACCTCTCTCATTCCTGATATTGGTCTTCCTGATAAGTGTCTTCCCTTTTTTTTTCCTAACCAGTCTGGCTAAAGGTTTATCAATTCTACTGATCTCAAACAACCAGGTTTTGATTACATAGATATTCTCAATTGATCTTTGTTTTCTATTTCATTGATTTCCACTTTGACCTTTATTATTTCATTTCTTTTGCTTCTTTGTGTTTAATTTGCTCTTCTTTTATAATTTCTTAAGGTGGAAGTTGAGGTCATTGCTTTGAGACTTTGTATTTTTTAATGTAGGCATTTCGTTTATATAAATTCTGATATATTGTATTTTTATTTTCCCTCAGGTCAAAATACTTCCTAATTTCACTTTGGATTTCTTCTTTAATCAGTGGGATATGTAGAAGCATGTGATTTTGTTCCCAAATATTCAAGGATTTTCCAGTTAGCTTTCTGTTATTGATTTCTAATTTAATTCCACTGTGGTCAGAGGACATACTTTGCATGACTTAAATCCTCTAAAATGTATTGAGACATACTTTATAGTCTAATACAGAGGTTGGCAAACTTTTTCTATAAGGGGTCAGACAGTAAATATTTTAAGCTTTGTGGGTGACATACAGTTTCTCCTGTCACATATTTTCTTTTCTTTTTTACTTTTAAGAAATCTCTCAAAATGCAAAAACATCCTTAGTTCATAGGCCATACAAAACCAGGCTAGATTTGGCCCCACAGTCATAGTTTGCTAACCCCTGGCCAGGAATATGGTCTCTCTGGGTAAAAGTTTCATGTACTCTTTAAAGAGAATGTGTATTCTACTGTTAGTGGAATGTTAGGGAAGTTGGGTAATATTGGTGTATAGTGTTGAGTTTATTATATCCTTGCTATGTTTCAACTTGTCCTAGCAATTACTGAAGGGGACATATTGAAATTTCTGACTATAATTATAGATTTGTCTGTTTCTCCTTGCAGTTCTATCAGATTTTGCTCTACATATTTTGAACCTCTTTTTATTTGGGGCATAAACATTTAGGATTGTTATATCCTCCTGATTAACTGACTCCTTTATTATTATGAAATGACCTTCTTTAACCCTGGTAATATTCTTTGCTCTGAAATCTTTGTTTCTACTATGTTAATACAGTCCCACTAGTTTCTTTTGACTAATGTCAGCATCAGCATGGTATATCTTTTTCCATCCTTTCATTCTTAACATTTTTGTGTCTTTATATGTAAAGTGTGTCGAGTCATGCTTTCTATCCAATCTGACAATCTCTACCCTTTGATTAGGATTTTTAGGTCATTTACATTTAATGTGATTATTGATATAATTAGATTTAAGTCTATCATCTTGCTATTTTCTATTTGTTCCATTTGTTCTGTGTTCCATCTGTTCATTGTTCCTTTTTTTCTTTTTCTGCCTTCTTTTGGATTGAGTACTTTATTATTCCATTTTTTTCTTTGTTGGCTTATTACCTGTAACAGTTTTGTTATTATTCTACTGGTTGCTTTAGGGTTTATAGTCTACATATTTATCAGTCTACTTTCAAGTGAATTTATACCATTTAACATATAATAAAAGATCCTTATACTATCTTATTTCTATTTTTCTCCTGGTCTTTATGCTATTGTTGGCATATATTTACTAATGCATGTTGTAAACCCCATAATACAATGCTATTATTTTTGTTTAAACAGTTGATTATCTTAAAAGAGAATTAAATGTAAAAAGAGCTTAAACATTTACCCTGTAGTTACCTTTTCCAGTGTCCATCATTCCTTTGTGTAGATCTATATTTCCATCTGGTATCATTTCCCTTCCATCTGAATGACTTCCTTTAACATTTCTTGTAGTGCAGTCTGTTGGCAATGATATTAAATTTTCAATTCTGTAAATTTTCAGAGTCTTTGAAACACTCTCAGTTTCAAAGTAACTAATCATCAATTAATCTACTCCCTACCATACACTACTATAAATAGCCTGGGCTAAAGTATAAAAGAGAAAACTGAAAAGGAGCATATTGTACAACCATGAAATAGCCTAGAACCTTGCCTCTAAAAGTAAGTTGGAGGCAAAGAAAAATTATAGTATGCAGGGTGCTAAAAGCTACTGAATAAACATGAGGCATCTTCTTAGATACCAATTTTACTCAGGGACTTTGAAAAAATAGATAAGCATTATATTTATACTAAACATAAGACTGTTATGATATGTAATCCAACATTTATAGTAAATTTAAGACAAAACAAGAAACTAAAAATTCTGGTTTGGGATCAAGCTTCTAGGGCACTTTTTTTCACTTTTCTCTATTATTAGCCACACTTTTATGAAAAAGTTTAAGAAGCTGTGAACTTGATGATTATTCATGATTTATTAAAACCTCCCCTAAAATTGGACGCTGTCAACAAATGTAGGTTATTCATAGAGGTTTTTATTTAATTTGAATATGCATTTATGAATTGACCACTATATCCTGTTATTCAGCTCATGAATCATTTCTTATTGTGCTCATGAAAACTACACTTAATTCCAAATTTTTTAAATACCCATCACTATTCCTGTAAAGGACTTTTACTTACCAATTTTCACTTTGTGGCTATCATCAAGCCTACATCAATCAGTACCTACAACACTGTCCAATTTTCTGATTCCAATCCAGGAGAGAATAATAATACACATAAACAAGGCTGTTAGAAATAAGCCTAAAACAAAGAAAAATAGGCTGGCTATGAAGATCCTACGGGAAAATCCACTTGTAAGTCTGCATCCTAAGGAAATAAAGCAAAAATTTAACTATTAGATTGTCCCTTTTACAAAGAGAGAAAAACATAAGTATAATACCCCCCAAATAAGAAGTTGCTTAAATTATGGTATATCCTTATTCTATATGGAATACCTACTCAGCCATTAAAGGATATTATAGCTGAATATTTATTACTAGGATGAACAACAAACAGGTATGAAAATGTAATAAAAGGGGTTAACAGTGGTTATTTCTGGGTTTGGATTATTTTTTTCTACATCTTACTCATCTTGTTGTATATTCTTTAATAGCAACTGCATGTAATAAGAAACACCCAAAGTTTCCAAAAATACTAATTCAACATGAATAAATACTTATTCAAAATGATGAGATCATCATTTGTTTATCCATTAATCAACAAATATTTGCAGTATTGAATAAAACAAGTCCTTGCCCTCATGACTCTTAATTTGTGAGGGCAAAAAGGGCATAATCAACAGTCTTGGAAACTTTTTATTCCTCTTCTTCATTCTCATTACTTGATTGCCCAGTCATTCCCTCCCTTATTTATAGAGGACTTTGGCACCTGACTTCCAGTATCTGCCTCCCCTGCATTTCCTGCCATCATGTGCCACTTCAGTGTCCACATGGACAACCCATCCAACAACCTTGAGCTCTGACTCCAGCAGCTTACAACCACTTCATTCAGTGATCCATACCCAGAACCCATACCATCAACCTTCTGATCACCAAGAAATTGTTCCACAGCCTTGGACTTCAATATTATTGATCTCAGACCACAATCACTTATTGTTCTAATTTTTTCACTCCCTTATTCCCTAAACACCTGCTTTTTTATCTTATTTTAACCTCTATTCCTCAACTATTCCCCCTTTTTTTTTTTCAAACCACAATCTCCAGCATGGCTTCATATCTTTTCCTATCTAGCTTAGTTTCCCAGGTACATCAGTCTCTCTCGATAATAACCTTGCCCCCTGGCTAATTCCCTCTTCCATTCCTTAGAGCATATATTTTATGCCACCTTACTACAACCCAAACTTGCTACTTCACCTATGCCCTTATCTTTAATGTCTCCTTTATCAGCAAAAAAGTCAAAACTATAAGCTATGAACCTCCTAACCTTCTTGTTCCACATTTACAAGTTATACATATAACTATCTTCACCTCCTTTCTTCTAATCTTAGAGGAAGGAGTATCCTATCTCCCAGGTCAACTCTTTTACTACATCCTTGATCCCACATTCCCTCATCTCCTACAGATCTTTCTTTACCTTTATCCCTCTTCTCTTTAATCTCTTCTCTTCCTCTTCTGCTGACTCTCCCCACATTTTATAAATATTAAACGCTCTTCACTGGAGAATCCCCTCCTCAATTCTATAAACTACTCCCTATAGTGATCCTTTATTTCTGTTTTGAAGAAGAAATGAAAAGCCTTGAAATAATATAAATATATTGTAACTTTTCTCAATCTAAAATACTTTTCAGGATGCCTGGGTGGCTCAGTTGGTTAAGCATCTACCTTTGGCTCAGGGGGTCCCAGGGTCCTGGGATCGAATCCCGCATCTGGTTCCTTGCTCAGCAGAGAGACTGCTTCTCCCTCTACCTGCCCCTCCCCCTGCTTGTGCTCTCTCTCTGGCAAATAAATAAATAAAATCTTTTAAAAATAAATAAATAAATAAAATATTTTTCAACCCAACACAGAATTCTGCCATCATCAGCGCACTGAAAATGTTCTGGCAAACATTACTAATGACAAAATTGCCAAATCCTATTATCTTTTTCAATTTACTTGACCTGTCTTTATCTTCTGATACTCCTGACTCTTTTTTCCTGAATCCTGTCCCCCACTGGCTTCTAGAACTCTGAGCTCTGTTGGTGCTCCCTTCCATCCTTCTGCTATTTATGCTTAATTTTTTTTTCTACCTTCTGTTACTTTGCCCATTTGCTAATGTTGGTTTTCATTTCCTCTCACTATATTCAGTTTCTATGAGCAGTGGCATCCAGTTCCCCCAAAATTTCAACTACTACCTTTTTAGTGACATCCACTCCCAGCTCCAACCTTTCTCCTAAGCCTCAGATACACCTGCTGAGCTCCCTACTGAACTTCTCTATATGGATATCCCAGTGACAATCTTCCATATTCAATATGTCTTCATTGAGTTTCTCATCTCCTTCCCCTTTCCCAGTTTTCTATTCCACATCCGTATACACACATACACATAAGCCAAAATCCCTGTTCTTCTCCATTTGCCTCTATCCTGGTTAATTATACGACTATTGTACTCTACAACCAAGCCAGGAACTAGAAAAGTCATTCTAGATTCTTCTTCATCTCTATCCCAACCATTACTACCCTAGTCCAAAATCCTATTATTTGCACCCAAGACTGTAAAACCACATAAAACTACTTCCATTTACTTAAGTAATAATTATCACACATAATAATATGTGATGATAATAATAGAGCACATTTTACATTTCCCTTAGTATTTAAATAATGAAATTACAATCACGTTACCTAATTAGCAAACCATGAAGGCTTATACAGAAGCATAAATAACCTCCACTATTCCTAGAGATCAGAAACCTTGTTTATACCCCCGTACCTGTTTTTATCACACAGCAGTTGTTGCTTTACTATTTGTTCACTTTTGAATAAGGTAAACATGGCACACTTAAAGATAACCATAATAATCATTAAGCTGCAAATTAAAAGGTCAATAAATAATTGGATCCATATTTTTATATAACAAAATACAATTTCATACCTTGTTAGTTCACCAGGATTTCTTTAAAACATATACCACACATACCTATACACATATACCACATTAGGAATTAGATAAACTAACAAACTGAGTTTTCCCTATGAACTGAGCTTCCTTTCATTCCTATTCTACTGTCTTTAACAGCACTCAACCTATCCATGCTTCCAAAATTATGAAAGTGAATGCACCCCCACAGCCACCCTTGTAGTAAGGTTACTGTGGCATAGGTAGATCAGAGGGGTCCCACTGCCTCCCCAAATCTTTTCCGCTTTGCTTTCTGATGCCTGAAAGATGGAACCATCTATTCCACAAGATACAAACTGCAATTTTCCTGAAGAAGAAAAACAAAGTATAGTATTTAATAATGCTAAATGAATGAAATTCAATAATACCAAGACACGAAAGACAAATACAGAGTCTTCCTTTGTCAATTGGGAGAGAGAGTAAAGTGGTATATTGTTAAGGGGCCTTCTGAAACAATGCCTTCCAGATCATTCCTGATTTTTTTCAGTATTCTTTAATACACATGACGTATTTTATAACTGGGGGCCGGGGGATGTTCAAAAGTGAGTCCACAGGTCTAGTGTCCCAAGGGCAAATAAAAGTATTTTTACATCAAGTGATTTAAAAGAAGCTTTGAACTTTATCATAATTAACAATTGTATTACTAACATTTTTTACATCTAAAGGATTAAACTTCAGGAACTTTCAATTTTATATTCCTTTCCTTTTAAAGGAAATATGTGTATAAATAAAGGTAGATGGGAGGATCATTACGTTTGGGCATATGCTATAAGAATTTCTTGTCAGGAAAAGTTTTGTATCCACCATAATATATTAGTAGTTTTGCATTTTATTAAAAATATTACAGTTAAATCACATGAGCTTTGGGTTGTTTTGCCAATGGCATAAATATCTAATTGTTAAAGAAAACCCTATGCTTATAAAATACATCCTCCCAAAGGGGAAAAAATTAGTATGTATGATACTTCAAACCACTTATTTTTAAGAGTTTCCTTAAAATTAGGTATATGCATTGTATATACCATCCTGGGTTCACTGGGTCAAAAGTTAATAGTATAGGGTCATCAAGTAAATTAAATGTTAACAGCAAAAATTAAAGGACTTAATTTAAAAACATAGGGCCTAATCCTATGATGAAGAAAAGTAGGGAAAAAGTTTTCCCACAAGAGCTGTAAACTGTTCACCTATTTAAAATAAATTACTTCTTCAGAGCTGCCTTAAAAAGTTAATTTGTTTTAAACACATAAGCATTCCTTGCCAAAAAAGAATGTGCTATATTTTATTCTCATTTCCCTATAGATTTGTGCTACATGAAAGAAAGAATTTTTTTACATATGAAGAATAGAAATGTAGCGTGACACTCAACTGTCATAAAGAACTCACTACACATTATCAGTCACATCTCCTAGAGACCAGAGGGTCTCAATTTTACTTCTATTTACTAAAAATAAATAAGAAATGAATGATTATAGGTTCCTGGTTCACTGTCCTTCTCAACTTCCAGGACAAGGCTCACCCCAAGTCAACAAAGTCTCTGAGAAGGTCATGAGTTATCATTTTTAAAAGTTTTTACTCAATGTGAAGTTTATTTTATTAAAACCCTTCAATTTTCTTTTGATAAAGGATCAATTTACCAGTCCTTTTTATTATCTTAAATTTTATTATCTTAAATTTATTTTAAGACATTTTAATGGCTAGGATAAAAAGTTAACTAACACTTGGTATATTTCAGACCATATATGGTATATGATTTACCATTCTGAGTGTGTCACTTTTTGAGAGGGGCCCCTTTAAACTGGAGCATAACCAGAAGGAAGCCAAGATGGTGAAGGGTTTAAAATCATAGAGCCACTAAGGAAACTAAGGATCTTTGGAGGGCAGGGATTCAGTTGTCTTCATGTTTGAACATAATAGTGATCATATATTTTTTTTAAGGTTTTTTTTTTTTAGTAATCTCTACACCCAACATGTAGAACTTATGACTCTGAGATTAAGAGTCTCTTGCTCTTCCAACTGAGCCAGCCAGGTGCCCCATTAGTGGTCATATTTAAAAGGTTATCACACATAGATGGGAATTAATTTATTCTCAGTAGCTGCACGGGGCACTTTGACAATGGGTAGTAGTTACAAAGAGACATGTTTTAACTACTAAGATTTTATGACTCCAAACCTATTATTTTAAAAACAACATTCCAAAACATTGTATTTAATAT